TGGCATTTAATTCCTTTGATTTTCTTAGGAGCTTACTTGAAGAACATTTTTTCTGATGGTCAGCAACGGTTAGTCAGAATACCTAGAAACTGCCGAGGGATTTGCACATGCCCCAAGCCTAGCATACAAAAATGGTACACTAAGACATCGGGGTCTGTCAAACATCCAGCATGCCAGCTCCAACACCAGCTGCATTTTCAGTTGTTGCTTTTCAATCTGCTTTACTACTCTATGTTAGAGCTTTACCACCAAATTCAGAGCAAGCTATTTTCTTGTCTAATAGCTGTATCAGAGATAAATGATACTTTGAGATAACCCACCTTTAGCTTTATTGCTAGTTAATGAGAACTAACAGCCCTGCGAAAGTAGCAGCTTGGAAAAGAAAGGAAAAAAAAAGGGTAAAAAAACCGTCTGAACAGCTGCTCACCACCCATCTGCAAGTCATATATGCTTGCTTTCAGACAAGTGTCTGATATTAACTTTAAAGAGTGAAGCAATCTACATCCAACTCATCTTACTCCCTAGTTAGTAGAACAGTAACCTTAGCTCAAATTACAACTTGTTACTGGCAGTTTAAGAGCAGTAGGAAAATATTTTATTTTACAGATTTAACAGTGAGTATTAAGCTTGTAAATCATGAAATCAGTAAACAAACAAAAACAAATACTGAACCCCTACATACATTCTTAACCAACACAGTCTTGTAAGTCACCAAAGTCTACTCTATGCAAAAATACACATCACTGTCACAAACCAAAAGCCATAGTTTTATGAAGAGGAAAACCAGTACAACAAATAATATTGACAATTCTGATCAAAGTCATTCACTATTTTGTGGAGCAGATTTGAAAGAATAAAACATTAGTGGCTTTCTTGCTGTATACTGCTAAAACTAGGTACACATTGTTCAGTTTAACAAGAAAGAAAAAAGCATGAAGTAAATGGCAACTGCAGGATAGAAAAATGCAGAGGGTGATGAAGTATTGGCTAGGCTTCACTCCCTTTGAGCAAGGAAACCTGAATATTAAAAAAGGCTGAGTTAGAAGGGAATGTGGGGTATTTTGTGACAGACCTCTGCATGACAGCTGGAGAAAAGCTATTGTGGCAACAGCTGTGTGCTGTGCACAGCTCAGACTCCCAAATACCTCAGCCTGCTAAGAGGCCAGTTAGCTGGCTGCAATGCATTTTTAAAGTCTTCTGCCTCTTGGGATTTGAGCATGATGGATTACTTGTGTATGTTTTAAATAACAGAAGGAATGTTTAGTTCTATCACTTACAGTTTTACAGAATACCATGGCATAACGTTGAGCTATCATCCACTGCTGCTTTCCTGAAGTTTATAGCTGTGACAGATCCCATTAACTCTCCTCTACAATTAAAACATCTTCACTTCCTGTCTTAACAGTGCACTGACTTGACAGCACTAAGTTCATATATCATATCCTGATTTACAGGAAATGATTTGGTATTTCCAGGATGAAATCCTGGCCCACCAACAGCAATATCGAGCTCTGTTTATCTCCCCAGAGGAAGAATTTTGAGGAACACAGCAGCCATCTAACCACTAAAAGCTTTGATCTGTTAATTTGTACTCTAAAGTTTCTCTGAATTGTTAGATGAAGTTCTGAAAAGTGAAACCACGATCACATTCACTAACATTTGACCAGTTAGATCTCTCAGACCAGTCCTACTGCACTGTGCTAATGAGCACAATGCTGAACCCGGTATGTAAAAGAGCTTTCATTGTATGACATGGGTTTGCTCACACAGCCTCCTTACAAAAACAATGTTGTTTCAGCTCAGATGGAGGCACGACAATCTTCCCAATACTTTCTCACACAGAACAGTGTGCACAGGAGTGCACTATGTCCTGAGCACTAGCATAAGGAGTTCAACCACAGCCAATTACTCTTGTAAGAATGAAAACTCTTCGTTTCCGCACCAACACCTAAACAAGGCCGTAGAGGATTCGTTGTGCACAAAGCCCAAAAAACTGGCAAAAAAAAGAAGATGAACTGGTTCTTCTTTACATCCTCAGCATCTTATGTTTTCGGTTATTTCATCTGAAATGAAGGGTTTTCTCATTTTCAAATATAAATCCTGTTTCATCTTTCAAAGATACAATGTAAACGACAGCACATGCTTCCCCCCATGTTATCCTATCACCACAACAGTCCCATTTACTGGAAAATAATCAGTAGCACTGAAGGAAAAACAAGAATAACTGCACTTTAGTACTGATTTGCTGAAAATTAAATAGAGGATTATAGGAAAGCAAGACCAAGTGTGGAAATATTTGCTAGTATCAGTAAGAAGAAACTTGCCTTTTTAAGCTTCAAAACTGAGTTGGTGACACACAAGCAATAAAGATGTAAAAGATAATTTGAATGCTTCACTGACATCAAAATTTGTCGTGTGGCGCGAGCTAGTAAGATCCATGTTTTAGTGAAGGCAACTACAAGTTTGTCACTTAATCCTGAGCAATTTCAAAAATGAAGCATGTGACTCGCTTGCAATCAATTTTAAAACATTTTGGAGGAGTTTCTACGGAGCCTTAAGAGACAAACAGCATACTTGGCAGTGTACTTGCCATACAGAAACTACACAAGTGGCTGCATGGCATTGCAACCCACTTGATAACATCATAGCTTTAAGAGCTCAGGAAAATACTGTGGTACAAAAATAATTTACCAAGCCTCATCTCTTATTGTCCATAACCACCCAGCAAGCACAGAAACAATACAAAACTCTTCAAGGTACCCGAGGTTCTACTCAGAAAATCTTTATTTCCCAGCTATTTCTCACATTTTTCAGAAGACTGAACTTTCTGCTAAACACCCCTTTGTGGTGGCATGATTTCATCTCAAGATAAAGCAGCTGAGAGGGCAAAAAGATGCAGATAACTTAATACAAACTGACAATAATTTGTTATGAAAAATTTACACTCAACATGTCAGCTTAACACCATAGTGCTGTTCCCTCAACACTCGTTCAAAGTAAACTATTTCTTTTTCTACTATTAATTTGAAGAGATCCTTCTTTGTGACAAAGCAGATGCAGGTTCCTCTTTTGCAGATATTTGCTGAAAGGCAAGTGTCAGTCACAACACTTGAGGCAAAACTCTTATTTCCATAGGGCTGTATCTCAAGCTTTTAGTTTAAAGAATCAATTTCCACCAGCACTCAAATAGTGAAGGTACCCAGTGCTTGACAGAACCCTACTGCTATTAAAATAAATGGACATACCAAGGCATCAAGTGTGCACTTCACTTTTTTTCTCCTTATGACTCTAATAGAAATTCCAGCTTTTTTTTTTCTTTTTGTGAAGTTAAAATTATCCAAAAGCCTCTAACACCACCAGGGACTCCAGAAATCCATTCAGCAACATTTTCCAAGACAGCAGCATCTCAGAACTGAAGCCGTGCACAGCTGCACACACTGTTGTCACAGCCAGTTTAGATGTCCACAGAAAGACTCGGGCAATACCACCTAAAGCAGCAGTACCATGTTTGGTTGAATGGCACTCTAAACTGGCTTCAGTCAACCCCAGTAATTACATCCATATACAAGTAGCAAGGAATTCCATCAACACAGTGAGGGGACTGCAGTTATTGCAGCCCCATTACCTTCAAACAGACTAGGAAGTCAGCATCTTGCCAGTATCTGACCAGCTATGTATGCCTCCAACACACAAGGTACCTGTACAACATGTATTGCTGTTCCACCCCAAAGGCATCATTCGAACTAATTTGCAGATAACTGATTCCCCTAACGCACCAGCTGTTTTCATGTCCTGGAACTTCTCAACATTTAATTATCCAGTACTTATCCAGATTTTGAAAGTGCTGTTTGCTATGTGGTTATTTACATCTATGAAGCAGGTTACATTCTCACCAGACTATTACAGCTAAAATCACATGGATGCGTGCATTAGCGAAGAAAATTTGAACTCAATAAATAGTCTATTTGCTATCAGATCACCTGTTCTAACAAAACATTACTTGAGAACATCATTTCTCTGAACATTAAAAACCAAGCTTGCCTTGCTGTCAAACAGCCAATCTTAGGGATAGGTATCACGGCCTTTCCTCAGTGGAATTAAAGAAACGAACAAGTCGTTCTCTCCTGATCTGCACATCTGTCATCAGCAACACCAGCAAGCGAAACACAAGCAGTCTCCTTCTTCCACCCTAAACACACAGCGATAGATGAGTGACAGCAGTAGAAACGCTAAAAGCAACAGGGCAGAAGATGAAAATGAAGGGGTATGGCTAAAATAAGGGCGGAAAAGGGCTCTTCCTCATGAGGCTGATACACCCACTTTACATGACCTATTCTGACATGTTTTTCACTGAAAACGAACAGAAAGCTACAATTGTCTGGAAGTTGAAGCCTCCGCCGCAGGAGCTCAGGGAGCTTTGGGCGATGCCGCCTCCGATCTGGCACCGCCTCTTCGGCCCCGCTCCTCTCCCAGTGGGGCTGCAAGAGCTTCCTCGCCCCGCGCCGGCACAGGAGGGGCAGACTCGGCCCGGGGCAGCTCTTTCGGAGCAGGACGCCAAGTGCCACCGCTGCCCCGACCCCGGCTCCTTACCGCGGCTGCCGCCTCCCGAGCGGAGCGCGGGGCCGGACCGCGCCCGCGCCACCAGTCCCCACGCCCCGACCACCCCACCCCGGAGGCGCCGCGGAGACTCCCGGCGGGCTCCAGAACCTTCCCGGGGGGCTCACACCGCCCCGGGGCGTCGCACCCCACCCGCGGCCCAGGGCCCCTCAAGGTCACGCCGCCACCTCCCTTCCCGCCCCTGACTTTCCGCTTCCCCGCCCGGCAGCGCGGCGAGCCCCGCCGCCGCCGCCGGTAAAACCCACCGCGCCTCCGGGAGCTGCCGCCCGCCGCCACGGCCCCGGCCCCCCCGCGCTGCGCGCCGGGCAGCGCCCAGGCCCCGGCGCCGAGCCGAGACGGGCGGAGCGCAGCACTTCCCCCCACAGGGCTCCGTGGCCCCTCACCTGGATGAACTGGATGGTGAGCGCCGACTTGCCCACGCCGCCGCCGCCCACCACGACCAGCCGGTACTTCTCCTGCCCCGGGCCGTCCCTGCAGCCCGCGGCCATGGGGGAGTCGAGCGGGGCCGATCGCGGCAGCGCCGCCGGGTCTGGCGAGCTCTTCCTCCCGCTGCCCGCTCCTCTCTTCTTCTCCTCGCCCGGCCGGTGCTGAGCAGCCACAGCCCCGCCGTGCGGAGCGGCAGCGCCGAGCCCAGCGAGCAGCGAGCACCGCCCACCCCGCAGCCCGGGCGCCGTGCTACAAATGGCCGCCGCGAGGCGGGGCCTGGCGCTTGCCGCACCGCCCCTAAGGGCAGCGCGGCCCGGCCCGCCGGCGGAGCTCCCGGGGCCGGCTGCTTGGCGCCGCAGCTCTGCGTTTGGAACGGGCCGGTTGGGGCAGCCCCGGTCTTCCGCACTCTCTCCAAACGGAGCTAGCTGGAATCACCGATTTCCTCCTGGGTTTTCCTGCTACCCCCGTCCCGCCGCCGGGTGCCGCATCGCCATTAGCGAGCCTCTCTGAGTACCCACGAGTGGGGAAGGAGGTCGTATTGCCCCCTGCGTACAGCTTGGTTTAAAGCCAAAACGTTGTTAATAGGGCCAGGAGGGGAAAGGGAGTAAAAAAAGTCACAGAGCCTTGAATCCTTCCCCACGCTTCAGCAGGAATTCTTGTGACCATGCACGCGATGAGTTTCCCACGCATTTAGGCTGTTCTGATGAAGACCAACCTCTCCTCCATGTGTCACCCACAGCCGGGTGTCAGAGCCCCTACTCATCCGTTTCTGGACAGAGCACACTGGTTGGAGTCGGAGGTAAATGCACCTTTAGTCCTTTAGATCTCTGCCACCTCGGCGGGGGGCAGGCTACTGATGTTAGTGATGACTGGCCCATTTCACTAATAATTCACTGTCCAGTATGTTTCTGAACATCCAAAAGGCCAGGAAGGTGGCCACTGTACATACTACAGTGAAGCACAGCTTCTGCTAGTACACCTATTTTCAGGTAATTCCTTCTTCCCTCCTCTCCCTCTCCCCTTTTGAAGAGATATATGGCAATAAAATAGGATACATATGATTTTACATACACATATATACATAACATACAGCCTTTTACCATCACAGAGTGACAGTTAGTTGTTACCATGTACCCGAATGGCGTAGTCACACCAACAAGTTTGTAACATAGACACACTCCTCTTACCTAGAAAATAACAAAACCAAAAGTAGCGTCCATGTTATGAAAGCTCTAGTGAAAGGACTTGCCCTGTACAATGCTGGAACTGTCGGGGGGGGGGGGGGGGGGGGGTGCAGGAACGGCAATCTTCTGATTTGCCCAAGAAACCCAGACCTTCTGCATTCTACACACATTTCAAATCTGGACCAAGTGAAGTGAGGGTCCCACAGGCAAGAGCCTCCTTTCCACTACAGTACTGACTGCTTCACTCAGTGACTAATGGAGACCCACAGAGAAATAACATACTGTGGAGCTAATTAAAAGCTAACATTATACCATATATATACATAGGGGTAAATCAGTGATGTAGCCTTAATCTTAACTCCACCATGTCCTAGTTTGTCATGCTGAACTTTGCAATTCCTTCACTGGATTTCTCTGCTTAAAAAAGCGGAACTGTAAAACCAACACAATGAATAACATCTTTCAACACCCCTGCTGTCTCAGTGGAGGGGAGGACTGTTTTGACACAGGAAACAAACTGATACCTTGTGACTTGATGGGCTAACTGTATGACAGGGAGATACTTTGTCACCAGGATTCACAACTGTATTTTTGAAGCGGAACACCAGGACTCAGGCCCTGTTGGCTTAGTATTCTGTAGTGATAAGCCACTTTTTCACACATTTCCTTATTGCCCTGACTGATCAGAAATAAAGAACAACTCACAGAGGAGAGAATACATAGCCTAACATTTTCCAGTTTGGAAAAGAGATATATAACAGGTCTGTAAATTCCTAAGCAGCAGAGAAGTTGAACAGGGAAAGTCTCAAAATAGGAGAACTAAAGGACATCCAGTGACAGTATGAAGAAACCACTTTAAGAAGTGGTATATGAAGTATCTTCTTCAAACAGAAGTTACTGCCATAGGGGGCTGTGGAAAACAAAACTGCAGCCCAGCGACAAAAGTTTAGACAAAGTCACAGATCTTAAGTGAGTTTCAAGGACACACTAATCTCTATGCAAATGACTGCAACATCTGTTTTCTTCATTTAAAGACAAATGAAAAAACAAACATTTCAATTTTCCCTTCTCTTTTTTAGGTTTCAGTTTCATTATACATCCTTTCAAATAGCTGTTGTTGCTGATGTGGCTATCCAATCTTGTGAATTCTACAAGAAAATCTTGGGTTTTAAACAACACTGACAGATACGTTAAAGGATTAAAAAACAATGTGATCATCCATTATGTTAAAAAAGACTCTGCTGCAAAAAACTGTTACCAATAAACTCTTTACATTTGTTATTTTTGGTAATGAAATCCAGTTTTATAAATAGAGTGATATTATTGCAAAGCACTAGGTAGTGATCACAGAAAAGCAAGACATGGACAGCAATTAACGAACAGCTTTTTTTGGTTGGTTTATTGGTTGGGTTTTCTGTGGGGGTTTCTTTGTAGTTTTATAACCGTATCCAAAATCCCATTAAGAACTGTTTTCTCTTTGCTGTATAAACATAGGTAGAGGGAAAAAGTTTCAAGTACCAAAGATTTTATTGTATAAAAGCTTGGGTGTTTCAACCTCTATGCCTAATAGTAATTTTATACATGGAAACAGTCGTCTTGTGCTCCTCTTGCTGTCAATATACTGAAGCTGGACCCTCCAGAGGAGTGTTCAAGGGCAGCTAGGGCAGAACGAGCCCTAGAAGTGCCAGTCTCTACTCCCTGCATCCTAAACTCTGTCAGAGACCCCAGCACTTTGTCTTCCTGCAGGAGTAGCCATTGCTATGAGCCCTGGTTTCAGGAGACAAGGGACATACATGAATAAAGACCTAGAGATGAGGGTACAACACAGTGGAGGTTTCATTTCTCATTTCAAGATCAGCTAACCTGGGAAAGGCTGAGTGCTGGGGGACCCAGAAGGTGAAGACAAGAAACCTATGACTGACAGAAGGTAGCAGGGGATGATGATTCAAAAGGGGGGGTGTATGATCTATGCAGTCTGGAAAATAAATCTTGCAGCACCAGTTTGCATATCCCTAGGGATGCAGAAAATGCAGTGTTTCATAACAAAGAGGAAGAACTTGAAATACCAAGACTTGAGATGACGAAGACATGACAAAGTTTTGATGAAGCGGCTAGGAAAGAAAGTACAGCTTTTAGAACCATTACATAGAAAGAAGCTGTGTCATTTCAGGTCTAGCCTGAATATGCATATTTAAAAAGAGACAAAATCAAGAATGACATCCAGATGGCAAGCTTAAAAGAAAGAGCACCATAGCGCTTTATATAATGACAGGGGAAAAAAAGATTTCAGGAAGTGCTTGGGGGAAAGATCCATAACTCTTATTTTACATTGGCAGCCTGGCGAAGATATGGGTTTGGAATGTTAGAGGATGTGTATGCAGTAAGTGACATATTGAAAGCTAAAAAGCACTGTGTGAGAACATAATAGCTTAATTAAAAGAAAACTTGTTCACAGCTTTATCACAGAAAGAAGTTACAAAAATCTTTGGACATGAGTCAGCACAGTAGGTAACTAACACTGAGTTATTCTACTAATTTAGGTTTATATGTGTGCCTCATGGTTGCAGTTGTTTATTTACCTTGCTAGAACAGGCCTTAAACATCACCCCTGTGCTGTGTGGATATTGGCATCTAAGGAGGTCCATGTGCTGCAATTCCCACCAAGGGCTCTACCACTGACCGTAAGAACATGGGAGGAAAACAGGTTTCTCAAAGCCACTAAACAAGAAGCTTGAGAGAAATGTTATAAACAATCAGATTTTCTGTGGGATAGGAATGTAAGACCACATTCAGAATAAAATGGGCAATAATTGGTTCTATGTATAAAAAAAAAATGTGAGCTATTCTTACACTTATAATGAGCACCCAGAAACTAGAAAAGATGAGCCATTTCTCCTCAGACACACTTGTCAGTTTCTGTCTGAGTAAGAAGTAAAACTATTTTCAGCCAAATAGCTACAAGTTTTTATAAATGTTCATCTATTTTTGTATCTACCTATTCCAGTAAAATAGCCTACAGTAAACACTTCAACATGCATCATTTTCTCTGAGGCTTGAAATTAATCTATAAAGGAAAAATACTATGTGCCCCTTTTTTGGGTTGTAGTTTGTAAGATGAGCTTGTCAATTTTTATTAATTGTTACCATAGGACAAGGGGTAATGAGTTCAGACTTAAACAGGGAAAGTTCAGGTTAGATATGAAGAAGCTCTTTACTGTGAGGGTGGCCATGGTGCACCATAAAGTGTGTTGCCTTCAATCCCTTACACTACAAACCTCTTTGTCTACTCTGGTCACCAGTGCTCCATCTTCCTCACAGTATAGGACCACAACAGAGCATTTCCAGAGCCTGGTGAGTCCTACACATGCCTTCAGTTGCTGTTCATGCTCCCTGGGGGGAGCTACCTGAGACCAGGGGTCTTCATGGCATCTTCTATGACCTATCTCTGGGCCAGAGGGATAGGACAAGGCCAGATGCAGCTGACTCGGGGAGCTCCAGCACCCCAGAGGAGCTTGTGTTATGGTGCTTGTTGCTTGGTGGATAACTACACTCACAATTTCTCAATGCAGGGGGCACATTGAGCACTATCTCTCAGGAGCAGGCAGTTACTGAGAAAGTCCCGCAGCTCCTGACTTGCTGCCATCAGCCTGTCAGTAGTGAGTTTAGGGCTGAGAGCTAACACCTGCAACTTTCTGTCCCTCTGCTTGTCTCGGTGTGCATGCCCAACAGCAGCACATGGTGCCTCCAGGAAGGCAGCCTGCAGGAATTTACAATCTGCCAGGCTCTCATTTATGCCCCAGCGAGCTGCCCCTCTCTCATGTCCAGCTGTGTGAGAGACCCCTCCAGCCTGATGGTGATCAGCAGCCAAATTCACTGAGCCCACCACCTCCACAATATGGGACACCACAGACAGGAATGAAACAGCAGTGCTGTGAAAGATAATCCCACAAACCACAGCTGGATTTCCTTGGCCAGAAAATGAGTTACCTTAATCAATGCACACAACCACTTCATGGACCACAGTATGACCAGAGCCTCTGCCCCACACAAGACACAGAAACTGAGGTTTTGATTTTTGGTTTCTTTTCCTCTTGTACAGGATATAAGAAACTTCCAATTTTCTCCTAACACGCACAAGACTATTTGCTTTCTTACATTGATGATGTTTCCACAGAGCAATGAGAGAAAGGCAAGATAACAGATA